TTACCTAAGATAAGCGTACTTAGCGTAAGTAACGTGGCCAGTTAATAGAAGATTATTCAGGTAGGCAGAACAAATCAAAGAAAGTGGAATGAAATTTAGCCAACTTATAAAGACCTAGTTTAAGTGTAAGTATGTTTAGCCCAAATGCGGTGAAGCAGCAGCAAGAACATGTGCCCACTAGGAGCCAGGTGTAAGTTGTCTAAGCTGTTCAATTACTTGGGTAATAGGAGAAAGAAGTCTGGATTGATTGGTACTACATAAAAAATTGCTTAAATTGTGGGAAACCAAACCAGGTTTTGTAGTAGCATAATACTATATGATGTGCCTGTGTTTCGCATTATGTAATAACTCATGTACTATATTCGGAACAGGAGGTACGTGAAAATAAACTTTATACGGTCCTACTCACAAAGAGAAAGTAAGGTATCCTAAGTTTCTGTATATGACCTACATTGTTGACCACCGCAAGGTTGATCATGGGTCCAGTCCCTTACGTAGTCAACTTGCAGAGATGATAATGTAGTTTCTTGGCCATAGAAGGACCAGAGCTGCAACTGCGCAATGAACACTGATCTGTGGCAAGTAAACGACTGAGTGCTTGACAAGTCCCGTAAGACGACCGGAGTGAGGAGTATTAAAACAAAGGCAAAAGCTGACATGAAAAGAGGGGAAAATGCGGGTTTTGGATCACTAACCAATCTATTCACGCTAACACCTATGCAGATTTCCTCCCTACAACGTTAAGGAGAGGGCTTGTGGGCACACCCTTTGGTTCGGAGGATATAGTGAGCTGTGAAAATATCCGGGCGATTAGTCATCTTCTGAGATCTGATCTAGTGACATCAGCATCATTATGAACACTCTGTCGAGCTGATTCGTGCCGTTAACATATCGATGGCACAAGACTGACGTTGTTGGATGCCATGTTTCCAAAGTTATGACAATGCTGACGAGCAATATATACCCGTGTATATATTGTAGCCATGGTGCTCATCGTGGCAGTTGGCAGCAAATTGATTACGTAAACTAGCAGATGGTGTTCATGTGCTACCGAAACTCCTTTGGAAATTACTTCACAATCCGACGAAGGTGATCATTACGACGCTAGCTGAGCGCAGACGGATCACCATGGTAACCCCACAGCGCAACATATAGGTCCCAAGAAATTTGCTCCTCTAAGGAAGGTGCCGACAGACACAAGCATGGGTACAAATGGTTCACATACTTATCCCAAATAGTAAAATCTTGTGCTCTTAGTTCCGAACTCATAATAAACAATCTTCATCTTCAACAGACAATAATGGAATCGGGGACTAGCTGTTTGTTTTCTGATATTTGATCTGGGCTCTCTTTGTCTGCGTTTCAACGGCACCCTGTAATATAGCCTATGCATGATTCAGTTCGTACGACTGGTGTGCACTGCTCTGCAGATCTGAAAGTTATCCGAACTACGGTGTATACCAGCGCCTTCTGTTACACTGGCCTCCATACCCATCGACAGCCGGAATGTGACCAGAAGGATGAGGGCCGCAACCAACTAATAAGCTAAAGCCAGGGATAGTTAACAGTAGGGGTACATTGCGGACCAGAGGTTGGAAATCTAAGAGCGGCTGATCATACCTTCTGATTGAACTGGAATTGGACAGTGCAGTCTTGTTGAAAAACTGCAGGTGCAGCAATTTCTAAGTCCGGAGATTAGCTGACACAGCCATGTAATTTGGTCCACTCACGCATGATCAGCGTATCGAGCTACCGTTCACGCAAGTAGATTCGCAGGGTTGCAACTATTCTCAAGACAGAACATAGTTCACACAACCACGTGGCAGTGAACTTTTCAATCGCTCGCGCAGTGACGGGGGATTCGGTGAAAACTCAACTGCGCGTCAGGTTTCAGGAGTGAATCATCACACTCATCACACCGCTTCAGGGATGAAAGCAAACAGAAAAAGTGCACTGGCATATTGCACACAAGGAGGAATGCACACAATAAAGAATACCCACACAGGAAATTTTCGCCGAAAATGTACAGTGGGTAAATTGTAGCAGTCTGCGAATTTCCCCGCCTTGAGTGAGTAAGACTTGTAAAATGTTAATCAAAATTACTTCTCCCATTGCAAAATTGACCGACCGATGGGGAACGTTGACTGCAGGTGGTAGTCATTTAACTAGAACGCCCACGGCCCGATCCCTTGAACAGCAGCAAAAGGAGCTGGTACTAAGACTTTCCTATTTAGCACGTTTAACCGGTATTGTTTAATGATGATCCACGCGTGTATACGTATAATGGAGGCACGACCTCAAAGAAATTGCGTTGTTCTGGACTGGGTTTGAGGATATAAAACGCTAATGTGGAAAAACGTAAACTGTCACATTAACATATAGGGTAAATCACTGATATGTATTGGCGAAGTAAACACAAGATCGGACAGAGTATCCCAGACAAAACGGTAACTGCTAATAACACAAACTACTATCTCGAAACGTTTAAGTAAATTATCTTATAACACGCGAGTTTTCCTAAGGGTTGCATGTTGTGAAAGACAGCCTACAAGAACAATGTGCTGTTACACAAAACAAACACATGATTCGTGGGGTTTTGTGTAAACACTCCAACTTTTTGCAAACACACCACTCGGAACACGAGATTGGTTTCATTTTGTGGCATAGTAACAGGCTCGAGAACAGTTCCGTGGCACAATCTGGCTTCGGCTCTCCAAATCACAGATTTACTCAAGTTACGTTGGTTTTAACCCTAGCAGTCATGCGTTGTAGTTGTGTGATAACCAGGACGTAATACAAACTGCTAATTTGCCGGTAGTAACGCAACTGCTGTCACTGCGGCCTTTGATATGCGTGTCTGGTTCAGCTGACAGAATAGGGATTGTTCATCCAGTGGACTATGGATTTAAATCCCTTGACCCTGGTCCATGCACAGCATGACAACCATGTTGCTGAATCTGTTCCCCAGCATCCTCCACACGGATACCACCACTGCGTTGGAATGACATGGGCACAAGGTGTATGGGGCGCGCGGTTCCAGCTCTCAATTGGCAGATATGCTCCCGTTCCATCGAACCGAATATGGCATAGGTAGCTGTCGTCACAATGCCAGGAACAATGTGTTACAGAATGTGAGCGGAGAAATGCTAATCTGGAGCAGATGTCTGCAGCTGCTCTGTCAAGGAGATGGCGGCGCGCAAGCTCCGTTCGATACCACATTTCAAATCGCGGAAGCCGTGGTCGTTATGAGGTTTCCTTTAGGCGGCCTTACCGCAAACCACCTCAACGTTTACACCGCATAGTCCTGATTCAAGGCTTGAGCTAATTGTCACACGTTATCAGGCATGTAGGTTGGTAATAGGTGGCTGAGTAAATCGATGAAGTTGCTAATGGCAGTAGCACCGCCAAGTTTTGCACTTTAAAAGGAAAATTACTAAAATGTTAACCACCACTGGATAAATTGTAACTCACGCGAGAGAGCTGTGCGATCCGTTATTTGTCCCCATGTGATATCGATGCATCATTTCATGAATGAAGGTCGGGTATAAATTAGACAATTTATCGCCCAGTCCACTTCTGCATGGCGTGGTCCACTGCCTATTCGATATCAACTTCTCCTTCATATTACACTCATACTTATGTAGCTCCGTTAAGACTCCTCCCACCATCATTTCCACATAACTCTTAGTAATCCACTGAGTGGAATTGTCCCCCCTAGGCGAAACAACACTGTAAATATGCGGTTTCCAAATTACGACCAACGCGGCTGTATGTTATGATATTTTTGTTACAGTCACTCCGAAATTCTGTGTTCCACTGCTCACTGCTGTGTGAGCTGTGAAGTCAGATCGATATCACTTGTCAGGATATGTGTGCGCTGACATCGGTAAGTAGGAATCACTATTGTTTAATACACCCCTATCTCCCAGCTTATATTTGAACTCAGTTTACCGCTTCGTTCATTCATCAGGTCAGACGACTGTGCCAGGTTGTATCTACCCCTATGTACTACTGAACAATCGTTGGTCTACAGCGGCAAAACCGTTTGTGTATCATCCATGCGCAATACGTAACTTCCTCTGTCTAGCGACATAAATAGAACCCACCACAGAGTGTACCGTGGTCTTATGAATCGGTCAGCGAGTGAGTCTGAATGTAGAACTTGTTCTGGTCGCCATGTCTTCAGGGTGTACCAATTGCAATCACTCGGTTGGCTCCATCTCAGTTATCTTGGTCACAGATGAGTGAGGTTTGAAAATAAGCTCTTCAGATGACGTGGCTGTTTCGTACAAGCCATGGACAGCCGTGAATGCGACTGTTGATATAACCGAACCATCGATTTTGATACTGTTAGTATAGGGCCAGCTCAGACCGGAGTATCTTCGGTGTCTGAACACCAAAGCGAGGTGATACTGTTGAACCTGGCTGAATCTTGTAACAGAATCACACATATTCAACTGAGCGCAGAGAAGGAAACAAAGTGACTTGTTCAGGATTATGAGTAGGCTATTTGCCACGATCAGCAGATACTACATTACAAATTGGAAGATATGTGTACACAAGTAAGATGAGATCCCCAGTCTCCGATAAGAACCGTCGAACAATCGAGTTTGCTTCTTAGTTGCAACGCAGATGTCAAAGCACTCCAAAGCGTTCACATTCGCGGTGATCTGAAGTCGGTGTACCATCCCAATTCCACACTGAAATAGTTCGCTGCGGTTGGTGTGAAAAACAATTGCAGATTCTAACAATGTTCATTGCCGTGGGGCATCTGATTCCATGGGAAAGCCAACTCGACGGACGCATCTCACCGTTGTAGCCACCCAGTGTAGTTTGTTTCGGTGATCCGCTAGAGTAGAATGAAGCAAAACAGGACAAGTGGACAAAATCTACTTTTTCATATCATTGCCAGTGAGATAAAACAGTGGTTGTAGGTACATGGAGGGTATTCACCAAGAAGGCACGTATGGTGGACTACTGCAAAGTTAGACAAACGGTCCTCAAACTGAGGATGCGCCAGTCGGGCCTTTTGTTTTGATTCTATTGAAAGCAATCGATGAGGAAGGAATTGGCAGATTCTCCACTGAGTGCATTGGATGCTTCCCGCCTGGTGGTGTAAAGGGTGATGAATGAATTGTGAATAGCAGCGAGCCATTTTGGGCAGCGGCTGAACACCGGAACAGTAAAGGTTGGCCGGGGTTATGAGGATGCTGCAATTCGGTGTGCGCCACATCTGATAGATGCGACACACCACAGTGCGGGCTGTACACCCCGCCGTCTGCTGAACCGCATGCAATGCATTGGTGAATATTCAGTGGATTGGTCGTAACGCAGGGAAACATGTAGTCATCCGACCGAGCGAATCCCGCTGGACAAAGGAAGCGCAGGATTAAAATATGTGAGGTTGGAGGTCGATTCTCACCATCTTCCGAGCTGGTTGCTGGACTAACTCCAACAAGTGAATCGTACTCCATGTTTGTGGAATATGTGCTACTTTGAGTGGTTTCATCCTGTGGTGAAGTAGGGACAGATGTGGATTCTGGCATTTGTTAGCTGTGGGCCCTCTTTCCCACAACTTTCGATTAGTATTTAGCCACACAAGGCTTACGGAAATGCCGCTTATCTCCACAGAGAGGGAAGTTTCCGATAGACTAAAGTATGATAGTGTTATCGAGCATTTTGTCGCAAGGAAATTACGGAAAGTATGCTTGTATATTGTGTACATGTGTATTGTAACAATACGGATGTCCGCACTTACAACTGCACTTCAAACTTAGGTTTTTGATGGTTGTTTTATGCAACGAACTATTGCGGGGCTGTTCGCAATTGTCTGGGGTTTAGAGTTTACGTATGTCTGGGAGTAGGCGAAGATCTTACGACCGTCCTGGGCGGCAAAAGTAGTTGTTGGGCCACTGCTTGTTGGTATGAACAATGTTCATTACAGAAAGTTTGCTAATCTTTGCAAGTATTTAAGCATATAATAGGTGAGCAGTCTTCAGTTTGTTTAGTATCATAAGTGAACCACACTGGTTTTGACATCCATCATGGTGCGTACGTGCCGAGCGAAGTAGCGGGCAGACTGGGTGTTATGGTGCCAACGTGGAGCTGTTGGAAGCAAAGTGTAGTGCCACAAATAAAGTATGCCGGCAATCGTGACGAAGTTGACAAAACGCCGAAATGTGCGGAGTTTAGTGGCCAATTTCCTTATGGACGTTGTTGTGGGTGCGTTTTCTTCCGGTCCTACCACTACACCCATACGTATGACAGGTGTGACAGATGTTCAAATATTGATTAGCCACACTCGTCCTGGTGCTCTGACCACCAGTTAAATTCCTGTTAGCTGTCGAGTGTCAGTCGAACACTATGCTGCACAATGTTTGTTTAGCATGACATACCACTGTACTACTCGGCGCCCCTTTTCCGTCACCTCATTCAGGTCTGCTGTCGTGCCGGCAAGTCCAACATCTCACAAGATCAACCTCCTCAGGATGGTCTCAGTAACGGAGGGTTGTGCGATATCCACTCCGGTTGCAGTTGCCACCCGCTTTCCGACTAATAGACACCGAAGAGGACGGCGCTCCGCTAATCCATCCGGTGCAGCACTAACAAATACGCAGAGTGAGTTAGTTGAAGAATCTCCTTTTCACGGGTTGTGATAATAACCGCAGAGCGTAGCACGCACAGTTTATTACCTAGATTTAGTGTGTGCCTGCGAGTTTCCTCATTTCAACACTATCAACTCAGACCGAATTCCTTGCGTGCATTTACAGTCTAAAAATCGCACGTCCAGTTGTCCCTAGACCACAATGTCCTGAACTCTATAACAAACATGTGAAACTGTGCGGAGCACTGGAGGTGTGCAAAGCGATTAAGATTAGTCCAACTTTCTCAAATTTTGTTCGTTTGACTGTACAAATGATATTTCGTCTCCTACCCATTCTTCCAGAGGAAAAGTTAAAGCCTGGAAAGGCGACATCCTGCATGTATAACGGACAAGCGAACTGCGCCACACACTTTAGCCACGAACCTCATTGGCACAGACGTAAGTTATACCGCTTGGTCAGTTCCGCATTGGGGTTTCTTGTGAGATTTGTGAACGATTATCTACGATTCTGTGAGCTGCATACGCTTGAATTATGATTGATTATTGCTACTATTCAACCGACATACCTGCCAACCCTATCCATTTTTACAGTTTATATACCTTCATTCAGTCGGTCTTCCGACACTATGGAAACACGTACAGGCAATCGTTTCTTGGTTGAATGTCGTTACCGATCAGCAAACTGCATCGTTACTGGATTGAGGTTAATATATTTCAACTCGTCGCACCGTCTTAGTTATAATCGACCAGCCAGCGACGTAGTTATTATGACTAACACTGCCACCGCTAGCCACTTCACGCTGGAGACGCGTATTTGCCAGGAGCTCTACGTTATCCCTACAACCGCGACGGTGTCACCTAGTAAAGCCACAAATGGTAAAAGCGCAGCCTCCCGGACAGTGTGTGTTGAATACTAAACCAAAGTGAAGCTTCGGCTTAAAGTCAAGAAGGCTCTACGCATCCCTGAAGGGTGAATATTCTACGGTAGGGTGAATTTTCATTTGCGTGAAAAATCGCTGTTGAACCGGCCTTTGTTGGCTTTAATACCTGCACACATTTCACTTTCTTGTGTTACCCGTTCATCAGCGAGTGAACACCAGAAAACAGAGAAGGCTGACATTCTCATCACATGCTACAAGCCACTAGAGGGCATTGCGCAGATCGCACACGAGAAGCTAGGTGAGTGACGTCATTTTAAAATTCGCAACCTGTGGTAAAAGACGACCTGAGATGTACTCATCTTTGTCACTCAGTGAACTGAGCAAAGTTGACCATCGATTCAATATTGGCGACTTGTTGCACACCACTTGCAATTGTCAGGTTGACAAGAATTATACATGTATTCTCATTCAATGTGATCCCTTTGCGTTGGACAGAGCTGCAGTCAGGATTGCACCGGCTTTGTTCGCAAATTCAAGAATCCATATCTGTCCCTACTTCACCACAGGATGAAACCACTCAAAGTAGCACATATTCCACAAACATGGAGTACGATTCACTTGTTGGAGTTAGTCCAGCAACCAGCTCGGAAGATGGTGAGAATCGACCTCCAACCTCACATATTTTAATCCTGCGCTTCTTTTGTCCAGGGGGATTCGCTCGGTCGGATGACTACATGTTTCCCTGCGTTACGACCAATCCACTGAATATTCACCAACACATTGCATGCGATTCAGCAGACAGCGGGGTGTACAGCCCACACTGTGGTGTGTCGCATCTATCAGGTGTGGCGCACACCGAATTGCAGCATCCTCATAACCCCGGCCAACCTTTACTGTTCCGGTGTTCAGCCGCTGCCCAAAATGGCTCGCTGCTATTCACAATTCATTCATCACCCTTTACACCACCAAGCGGGAAGCATCCAATGCACTCAGTGGAGAATCTGCCAATTCCTTCCTCATCGATTGCTTCCAATAGAATCAAAATAAAAGGCCCGACTGACGCATCCTCAGTTTGAGGACCGTTTGTCTAACTTTGCAGTAGTCCACGATACGGGCGTTCTTGGTGTATACCCACCATGTACCATGTTTTATCTCACTGGCAATGATATGAAAAAGTAGATTTTGTCCACTTGTCCTGTTTTGCTTCATTCTACTCTAGCGGATCACCGAAACAAACTACACTGGGTGGCTACAACGGTGAGATGCGTCCGTCGAGTTGGCTTTCCCATGGAATCAGATGCCCCACGGCAATGAACATTGTTAGAATCTGCAATTGTTTTTCACACCAACCGCAGCGAACTATTTCAGTGTGGAATTGGGATGGTACACCGACTTCAGATCACCGCGAATGTGAACGCTTTGGAGTTCTTTGACATTTGTCTTGTAACGAAGAAGCTAACTCGATTGTTCGACGGTTCTTATCGGAGACTGGGGATCTCATCTTACTTGTGTAAACATATCTTCCAATTTGTAATGTAGTATCTGCTAATCTTGGTAACTAGCCTACTCATAATCCTGAGCAAGTCAATTTGTTTCCTTCTCTGCGCTCAGTTGAATATGTGTGATTCTGTTACAAGATTCAGCCAGGTTCAACAGTATCACCTCGCTTTGGTGTTCAGACACTGAAGTTACTCCGGTCTGAGCTGGCTCTATACTTACAGTATCAAAATCGATGGTTCGGTTATATCAACAGTCGCATTCACGACTGTCCATGGCTTGTACGAAACAGCCACGTCCTATGAAGAGCTTATTTTCAAACCTCACTCATCTGTGACCAAGATAATCGAGATGGAGCTAACCATGTGATTGCAATTGATACACCCTGAAGACATGGCGACCAAAACAAGTTCTACATTCAGACTCACTCGCTGACCGATTCATAAGATCACGGTACACTCTGTGGTGGGTTCTATTTATGTCGCTAGACAAAGAAAGTAACGTATTGCGCATGGATGATACACAAACGGTTTTGCCGCTGTAGACCAACGATTGTTCATTAGTACATAGGGGTAGATACCACCTGGCGCAGTCGTCTGACCTGATGAATGGACAAAGCGGCAAACTGAGTTCAAATATAAGCTGGGAGATAGGGGTGCATTAAACAACAGTGATTCTTGCTTACCGATGTCAGCGCACACCTATCCTGACAAGTGATATCGATCTGACTTCCCAGCGCACACAGCAGTGAGCAGTGGAACACAGAATTTCGGAGTGACTGTAACAAAACTATCATAGCACTCAGCCGCGTTGGTCGTAATTTAGAAACCGCATATTTACAGTGTTGTTTCGCCTAGGGGGGACAATTCCACTCAGTGGATTACTAAGTGTTATGTGGAAATGATGGTGGGAGGAGTCTTAACGGAGCTACATAAGTATGGGTGTAATTTGAAGGAGACGTTGATATCGAATAGGCAGTGGACCACGCCATACAGAAGTGGACTGGGCGATAAATTGTCTAAATTATACCGGACCTTCATTTACGAAATAAAGCGTCAATATCACATGGGGACAACTAACGGATCGCACAGCTCTCCCGCGTGAGTTACAATTTATCCAGTGGTGGTTAACATTTTAGTAATTTTCCTTTTAAAGTACAAAACTTGACGGTGCTACTGCCATTAGCAGCTTCATCGATTTACTCAGCCACCTATTACCAACCTACATGCCTGATAACGTGTGACAATTAGCTCAAGCCTTGAATCAGGACTATGCGGTGTAAACGTTGAGGTGGTTTGCGGTAAGGCCGCCTAAAGGAAACCTCATAACGACCACGGCTTCCGCGATTTGAAATGTGGTATCGAACGGAGCTTGCGCGCCGCCATCTCCTTGACAGAGCAGCTGCAGACATCTGCTCCAGATTAGCATTTCTTCGCTCACATTCTGTAACACATTGTTCCTGGCATTGTGACGACAGCTACCTATGCCATATTCGGTTCAATAGAACGGGAGCATATCTGCCAATTGAGAGCTGAAACCGCGCACCCATACACCTTGTGCCCAC